TATATATATATATAGCATAGACACCAAAGACTAGCTCATGCCGCAGTTACATAGAGGTTAGTGTGCCAGCTACTAGGTATACCACCCATTAAACAGTCAATATTCTGAAAAATCCACTCGATGGTTTACAATTTTTATATTTACAGTGCATCACCGCTTGAAATGGAAGACGCAAGGAAAAGCAAACTTACCTATTGTCGCCAGTAGCACATATGCATGTGTATGAACAATGCCTACAACCGCCATACATGTAAGTGTGATGAAGAAACATGCTTTCTAACTGATATTCTTTCATCCCCACTTTTGTTTTCCTCATAACCTACACAAAAGAATGCAACTGGTAATAAAAAGCTAAGAAGAGTTGGAGAGCAGATATTATACTACGACACCCCATAGCTAAGAAACACAATAGGGAAGACATTAAAAGAGAATTACATTAAAGATGATCCACAAAAAATGATGGAAAGAGTAAGTGATACACTAGGAATGAGCTATGTCTACAATAGCCAGATTAACTATAACTGGAGTGTGGAAAGCATTACTAAAGCAAGGATACTAGATCATTCAAATGCTTTCCCACTATTATATAGTATTAACTATTAAGTCTTTCCATTATAGGGAAAGAGAAAAACTGAGAGCCTTCTAACACTTGGAGATTTGTTTCTTATTTGATCATTATTCCAACACATTAGTGCTTGACTGCCACCAATCAAGGTCAACCTAATCTCAACCAATTGAAGCATCACTCTCTTACTAGTTACTAAAGAGCCTACTGACTCGACGACTCAAAATAAGAATCAAAGAAAAACACCCATAGAATACAAAAACATTTACGTTTTTTCCCCAGATAAGTAATGTGAAAAAGCAAAGATTTGCTCATTCCTCAAAAGATTAGGGCATGCTTCTTGTTAGGATCGGTAATTCGGGTAGTGCGTAATTTAGCCAAACAATGTTATAATGACAATAACAAAGACAGTGCAAGTTGATAACGATGACAATTAAAGCATATAAAGAAGACACCAAATTAACGTGGTTCGGTCAGTGTAACCTACGTCCACAAGCGGAGAGGAGCAATTTCACTATACCAATAAGAGTACAAAATTAGAGTAAATACTCTAACTAATCCCAAATACCCTAAGAGATTAACCTCACAAGATCACTCCAAAGAGAGGGTTCACACAAGTGTTTCCTAACACTTAACTCTTATACAAAACACTCTTAATAAAGGAGGAGAAGAAAAAACAAGAAATGAAGACTCAAGTTTTGTTGGTGTGTTTAAAATGAACTAATGGCCTTTCCTTTTATAGGCAAAAAAGCATTGGCCTCTTAGTTGTAAAAGAAAAGATACAACTTGTGCAAATGATATCCACCACACAATGCAATATTTTTGGGTCCAAAAGAATATTGCCAACAAAGTCTACTTTGCAAATAAACTTATGCTTATGTGAGATGGACTCCACTAGCCAAAATATTGGTCATAATTACAAATCTCCACCTTGCCTAATTTTGGCTGATATAGTAAATTTGCTTCACCTTCTCCGCAAAGCCCCAATGGGCATATGTTAAAATTTAATGCCATCAAAATCAGACAACTTGTCTGATACTGAAACTGTAGTAGGGCCTATAACAGTGGATCCCAATAAAGTATACAACGAACCAGATTTGTGTGCTTTCATGATCACAAGAGCACCTTGAAAATTTTTTCGAACTCCACCTTCACCAGTGAATTTGCACCCAAGAGATTCTAAAGTGCCCAAAGAGATGAGATTTTTCTTCGAACTCATGAACATATCTCACATCGGTGAGAGTTCTCACCACACCATCGTGCATTCTGATCCGAATTGTACCTTTGCCAATAACGTTACAAGTAACATTGTTAACCAGTTGGACAACTCCACCTTCAACTGAATCATATGTAGAAAACAAGTCCTTGTTAGGACACATATGATATGAACAACCGGAATCTAAAATCCACTCATTGTGAAACTAGTTTCAGTTACTAAAAATATAGATCCCTCAATCTCATCAGTTGCTACACTAGCCTCGGCGGTGTCAGTATTTTTGTGCTCATTTTTTCTTTCTTTATGTTTTTCTTTATTTTTCAGTTTATAGCATTCAGAGATAATGTGACCTTTCTTATGACAATAGCGACACTCTAAATTATTGTATCTGGATATGGAGTCAGATTTGCCCTCTAACAAACAAGCCAACTTCCGCTTGAGTTCCACTAGCTTCCCGAGTAATATCACTATCTATCTGTTCTTTCAATTTTAAGATAGATTTAATATCCTTATAAGAGATTATCCTTTGCATAAAGCATAGTATCTCTTATATGCTTAAAAAATGGGGTAGAGAACAAAGCAGTAACACGGCTTGATCCTCATCTTTAATTTCAAAATCTATATTACTCAAATTCATACGAATGGAATCAAAGGTGTCAAGATGAGAGAGAATAGAGGTACCTTCACCCATACTAATTGTATAAAGCTTCTGCTTCAGGTAAAGTCTATTTTTCAACGTCCTCTTCATATATAAGATTTTCAATTTTTCCCACATGCAATTGTGGTTTCTAAAGAAACTTCATGTAAAACCTCATTTGAGATATTTATAATGATACATGCTTTTGCCTTTTTGTCTATGACGGCAAACTCCGCGCACATCATTTTATTCGGCTTCTTCTCCTTTCCTTGCAACGCCTAATCTAAGCCATCCTGAATTAGGATAGCTTCCATCTTTAATTGCCATATTCCGAAGTTTGCACTTCGATCAAATTTCTCAACATAAGTCTTTGTTAAAGTCATATTGACTACTGAAACTAACCCGATTAGATCCGGCTCTGATACCAATTTTGTTAGGATCGGTAACTCGGGTAGTGCGTAATTTAGCCAAACAATGTTATAGTGACAATAACAAAGACAATGCAAGTTGATAACAACGGCAATTAAAGCATATAAAGAAGACACTAATTTAACGTGGTTCGGTCAGTGTGACCTACGTCAACAAGCGGAGAGGAGCAATTTCACTATATCAATAAGAGTACAAAATTAGAGTAAATACTCTAACTAATCCCAAATACCCTAAGAGAATAACCTCACAAGATCACTCCAAAGAGAGGGTTCACATAAGTGTTTCCTAACACTTAACTCTCATACAAAACACTCTTAATAAAGGAGGAGAAGAAAAAACAAGAAATGAAGACTCAAGTTTTGTTGGTGTGTTTAAAATGAACTAATGGCCTTTCCTTTTATAGGCAAAAAAGCATTGAGCTCTTAGTTGTAAAAGAAAAGATACAACTTGCGCAAATGATATCCACCACACAATGCAATATTTTTGGGTCCCAAAGAATATTGCCAACAAAGTCTACTTTGCAAATAAGCTTATGTTTATGTGAGATGGACTCCACTAGCCAAAATATTGGTCATAATTACAAATCTCCACTTTGGCCTAATTTTGGCTGATATAGTAAATTTGCTTCACCTTCTCCGCAAAAGCCCCAATGGGCATATGTCAAAATTTAATGCCATCAAAATCAAACAACTTGTCTGATACTGAAACTGTAGTAGGACCTATAACAGTGGATCCCAATAAAGTATACAACGAACCAGATTTGTGTGCTTTCATGATCACAAGAGCAACTTGAAAATTTTTTAGAACTCCACCTTCACCGGTGAATTTGCACCCAAGGGATTCTAAAGTGCCCAAAGAGATGAGATTTTTCTTCAACTCATGAACATATCTAACACCGGTGAGAGTTCTCACCACACCATCGTGCATTCTGATCCGAATTGTACCTTTGCCAATAACGTTACAAGTAACATTGTTAACCAGTTGGACAACTTCACCTTCAACTGAATCATATGTAGAAAACAAGTCCCTGTTAGGACACATATGATATGAACAACCGGAATCTAAAATCCACTCATTGTGAAACTAGTTTCAATTACTAAAAATATAGATCCCTCAATCTCATCAGTTGCTACACTAGCCTCGGCGGTGTCAGTATTTTTGTGCTCATTTTTTCTTTCTTTATGCTTTTCTTTATTTTTCAGTTTATAGCATTCAGAGATAATGTGACCTTTCTTATGACAATAGCGACACTCTAAAGCATATACAGAAGACACTAATTTAACGTGGTTCGGTCAGTGTAACCTACGTCCACAAGCGGAGAGGAGTAATTTCACTATACCAATAAGAGTACAAAATTAGAGTAAATATTCTAATTAATCTCAAATACCCTAAGAGAATAACCTCACAAGATCACTCCAAAGAAAGGGTTCACACAAGTGTTTCTCAACACTTAACTCTCATACAAAACACTCTTAATAAAGGGGGAAGAAGAAACAAGAAATGAAGACTCAAGTCTTGTTGGTGCGTTTAAAATGAACTAATGGCCTTTTGCTTTTATAGGCTAAAAGGCCTTGGCCTCTTACTCTCTTAGTTGTAAAAGAAAAGATACAACTTGTGCAAATGATATCCATCACACAATGCAATATTTTTGGATCCCAAAGAATATTGCCAACAAAGTCTACTTTGCAAACAAGCTTATGCTGATGTGAGATGGCCTATACTAGCCAAAATATTGGCCATAATTACACTTCTGTTTATTTACCCCTANTGGAGGGGGGACAAGAGATTATAATTTTGATGAATGTTTTGCTCTCCAGAAAGAACCAATGCCAGCAACCTTGCAAGTTAATATATCTCAACATTTGACTCTCAAAAGCTTAAAAATGTATAAGAAAACATAAAGGCCTTAGCCAAAAACTTTGTAAGCTTTTCTGTGAAACATGTCTCAACTTCCATTGTGTCTAGGCAAAGTATCTGAGGGCTAGGTAGCGCATGGTTCGAAACTCTGTGGATAATGGGCCTGCAGATTCGAACCACTACACTTAAATACCAGGTGACTTTTGGTCCATAGGAAGATACGAACTCGTGGTATGCACATAATCAAAATAGCACGCGCTACGCTTTGTTGAATCAAGGAGGGAAAGGGGAGGTGAGGCTGGACTCACAGGTCATCCCTAGGAGAGGGAGTTTTAAGTACCTTGGGTCTATTATTCAGGGGGTTGGGGAGACTGATGAAGATGTCACACATCGCATCGGGTTGGGATGGATGAAATGGAGACTCGCTTCCGGTGTTTTGTGTGACAAGAAGGTGCCACCTAAACTTAAGAGTAAGTTCTACAGAGTGGTGGTCAGACCAACGATGTTGTATGGGGTTGAATGTTGGCCAATCAAGATCGCTCATGTCCAGAAGATGAAGGTAGCAGAGATGAGGATGTTGAGATGGATGTACGGGCACACCAGATTAGATAGGATCAGAAATGAGTTTATTCGCGACAAGGTGGGTGTGGCCCCTATTGAGGACAAGATACGGGAAGTGCGGCTTAGGTGGTTTGGTCATGTGAGGAGGAGGGGCACAGACACCTCGGTGAGGAGGTGTGAGAGGTTGACATTGGAGGGCCTACGGAGAGGTAGAGGTAGGCCAAAGAAGAGGTGGGGAGAGGTGATTAGGCAAGACATGGCATAACTTCAGCTGACCAAGGACACGACCCTTGATAGGAAGGTATGGAAGTCGAGGATTAGGGTAGTAGAGTAGGTAATCTAGAGTGTTCATAACAGTAGTATTGGCACGCAGTCTCACTTTCTGTTGGTAGTAGGTTTTTATGTCTAACTGTTGTTTTCTTTCATTGTTGATCACCTTACTGTCTTGTTGTTTTTATTCTGCTTTTATATGGTTTTTTGGTACTGTCCCTTCTTGTCTATATTTTCATTAATGTGGTGCTTATGCTTTCCTGAGTCGAGGATCTATTGAAAACAGCTTCTCTATTCTCACAAGGTAGGGGTAAGGTTTACGTACACACTACCCTCTCCAGACCCCACGGTGTGGGATAATACTGGTTATGTTATTGTTGTTGTTGTTTATGCTCTGTTGAACCAAAGCCTGGGGTATGTCTTGACAAAAATATTCTACACTATGTTGCAGGTAGCCAATAAGAAAAGTACCGGATCTACTTTATCAAAAGAAAAGTACAGGATCTACTAGCAAAAATGCAGGACACTAGAATAAATTGAAGTAAGGTAAGTGAAATTTCCCATGAAAAAGGTAGAACAATGCTTACCTCAACATGAGCTTCAGTGCTTATGTCATTGGCAAATTGAATGAGAGCAAGTTCTAAGTTGGACTTTATAACACGGCATTCAGTCACGATCGGATGCAATGTGTTTAAATCTGTCTGGAACTTCTTAATACCCTACAGACCACAGGCATAATGAGTCAACAACCATTGTATGAATTGGAACTCCAGCTACTACTTGCTTCAGGCATATATATCAGCTGAATTTCATCATTCTGATTTTGAGAAAGCAATAGATAAAAAGATAAAATAGGGCGGGGAAAATGACAAGATAGCTAAACACAAGGATAGCTTCCAAAAACCATCATGATTCACTAAATAACTGATAGCATACGGACATGCTATAAAAATATGGTACGCATTATAGTGGTGAATACGATGATTGACAACTGAAATAATCAACCGACAAAAGCTCCAATAAGATATATTAAATATGAGGAATTTATCAAGATTCTAGTGTTCATGATAAGTAAAACTGTGTTTGTGACCCGATTGTCATCTCTGCCAAGCAAAGATTGTGCTCTCTAATGAAGTTTTCTAAAGAAAGAACAAGGCTCCTTATAAAGTGGGTGCTTTCTTGGCTGGTTCAGAAGGGGGGTGTCTGACTTAACACAACCTTCAGAAAAGGGGTTTTCACAATTGCAGCAGGTGTTCGTTGTTTCAGGAGCAATATGAAGGTGTAAGTCATTTATTTCTCCATTGCGAAGTCACTTCACCAAGTAGAGATAAGTTCCTCTAACACTCTGGATATTAAATGGTCTGCCTCGGTCACGACTGGAACTGCTTCACTGCTGGTGCAGGAAAGGCATCAACAACAAAAATGATCCCAGTATGGAACACCAAACCCACAGTCATGCGGTGGATAATTTGGAAAGAATATAACCGCAGAATCTTCGAGGGGAAAAAAAAAGTTACTAGTCTCAAGTACAAAAGTATTTTTTTGCTTGCCTTTTGTTGTAACATGTCTGTTGAATGGTGTAAATAAAGATGTTAACGGTATGATAGTTTTACTCAGCTCATCTTTTTGCCTGTATAATCTCCTAACACCTTCTTGCTGTTGGGTTCTATCAACGAAATTACCTTCCATAAAAGTTTCTCACAAGACACTGAATTCTCAATAAGCATGCCAACAAACTGTCTAGTAGATGTATTTATCCCCAATGGTCCCCCATCTTCCTTCTGAGTTTCTGACCTTTACCCTCTACTAATTTCAGTAATTCCTAGGAGGAATAAATGGGAAGTCTACCCTCATCAGTTCACTAAATCTATCTACGCCGTTAAGGCGTGAAAAGATGGGAAGAAATCACCTAGTATTTTTTGCCAGTTGCCACAACTGGGATTTGAGCTAGAAACCTCATGGTTCTGAACCCACTTTTGACTTGTGAGGGGGTGAGGAGGGGGGCCATAAAATCCAAAAAAACCGAAAAACCGGACCGGAACAAATTAATTCGGTACGAAATGTTCGGTTGTTCGGTACAGTACTCGGTATTGAATTTTTGATACTTCGGTATAAATACCAAAAACTTTAAGTAAGCCTAGGTGGTAAAACTAAGCCCAAGTCCAACCCGTAGGCCCTAGCCAGTAAACTAAGCCAAGTCCAACCCAACTGACCTTCATTATTTCCTTTGTTTATAACAATAGGATACCCTTCACCCTAGGTTTATCAGTTTCTCTCAAATCTCAAAGAACAGATGTTGCCTGCTGCGACTTTGAGCCTATGACTACCGACGCTCAACTGTGCGACAGAGACCTCGGCAACGGCGACGGGGACTCCTCTCCTCGGCGACTGCTCAGTGCTCATCATTGACCTTCATTCTTCAATCTTCAAGTCTTCAACAGGTTCACAACTTCTTCATTCTTCAACTTCAGTCTTTATAGAGCTTCCTTCATTTTTTATTTTGTTTTGATGTTTAATTTTTAAGTTATCAGCCTCTAATTTTTGTTAACTTCTTGTTATTTCAATGTTGTTCAAACTTTTGTTTGTAATTCTCCAGTTATAGTTAGTCGATTATTTGTGGCAGTTGATATTCCTAACTTCCTTCCCTTAATGATTGCTCAACTCCATATTACTATTTCTTTCTGGTGGGCAGCATTGGTATGGCGGCGTCGATTGTTGGCGTTAATATCTGTAATTTATTAATAACTAATCGCCCCATCAGCTACTAGCACGACCATTAGGTAAAAAGTAAGAGAATGTATTTTACCAACGACAAGGGAATTTCCCTATGACGTAAAGAATTTAATAGAAACTTTCTGTATATGAATGATTTATATAGTTGCCTCTAACTAGTCTAGACTTGAAGCAATGGTTATTTTCTACGGCAAAGGGCCAAATATACCCCTCTACTTTTGAAAATGGTCTAAGAATACCCCTCGTTATACTATTGGGTTATCTATACCCCTGCAATCATACTTTGGGTTCAAATATACCCCTCATTTAAACGGAGGGACACGTGTCATCGTTCTGTTGGTCAATTCTAAATATCTCCTAATTAATTAGAAAGACCCATTACCCATACCCGAAAAATAATTTTTTTTTGTAAAAACTAGAAAAAAACTGAAATTATTTTTACTAAAAACTGAAAAAACAAAAATATTTCTTTTTCAGTTTTTACAAAAAAACTGCTTTAGAAAAAACTGAAAAATATTTTCTAAAACAATGTTTTTGTAAAAACTGGAAAAAAACTGATTCTTTTTTTTACTAAAAACTGAAAAAACAAAAATATTTCTTTTTCAGTTTTTACAAAAAAACTGCTTTAGAAAAAACTGAAAAATATTTTCTAAAACAATGTTTTTGTAAAAACTGGAAAAAAAAGCTGAAAATCAATTTTCTAAAGCAATTTTTTTTTGTAAAAACTGGAAAAAAACTGATTCTTTTTTTTACTAAAAACTGAAAAAAACGAAAATATTTTTTTTTTCAGTTTTTACAAAAATACTGCTTTAAAAAAAGCTGAAAAATATTTTCTAAACAATATTTTTGTAAAAACTGAAAAAAACTAAAAAGCAATTTTCTAAAGCAATGTTTTTGTAAAAACTGAAAAAACAAATATTTTCTTTTTTTTTCAGTTTATACAAAAATATTGTTTAGAAAATATTTTTCAGCTTTTTTTAAAGCAGTATTTTTGTAAAAACTGAAAAAACAAATATTTTCTTTTTTTTTCAGTTTATACAAAAATATTGTTTAGAAAATATTTTTCAGCTTTTTTTAAAGCAGTATTTTTGTAAAAACTGAAAAAAATAAAATATTTCTGTTCGAGTTTTTACAAAAAAAAAAAAAAATCGGGTATGGGTAATGGGTCTTTTTAATTAATTAGGAGATATTTAGAATTGACTGACAGGACGATGACATGTGTCCCTCTGTTTAAATGAGGGGTATATTTGAACCCAAAGTATGACTGCCGGGGTATAGATAACCCAATAGTATAACGAGGGGTATTCTTAGACCATTTTCGAAAGTAGAGGGGCATATTTAGCCCTTTGCCGTATTTTCTAACTTGATTCGTGGAGAGAGACAGAGATAAAGCATCCTATAAATTGTCGACAGTCAATAACTCATGACCATAAGTTATCTTCTCTCCCTCTTTTTTTGGCCTAGAGACAACTGGACCTCAATCCTCGATTGCCTTAGAAAAAACATCATCTTTAATCCCTAAAGAGAAAATTAATTCAACAGACTCTGCTTTTGCTTATGTGTTGATGGTTTATTTCTTTGAACTATTTGTCATTTTGTCGTTTCACAATTAGTTTTTTGTTGCGTATAGGATCAGTCTGCAAATGATGTATCTAACATACTGCTAAAATTTTATATTCGACTCTAGTACCCTAGTCTCAATTTGTGTTTGTATATCTTTTAAACTTTCATAGATGGCAGATGAAAGTAGAGCAAGTGATGCTAGTTCAACTGAAAGCTTACCTAATACCGAAGATAGCAATGCCAACACGATTGTCGCGCACTATGGGATGCCCTAAAATACGGAAATTTTTGTGACTTTGGGGTGGAAGGAGTGACCTTAAGCAATTGTTTTTGATAAACTATAAATGTCGATCTCACATTTTTTAGAACCCTTGGCAAGTCAATGTAGCCCTCATTCCTAAAAGGTGTGGTAATTACTCAGCACTATCATCTCTGGCTGACCTATTGTGAATTTAATGGGGAAAAACATGGTAAATTTTATATCATTCCTTTCAAGCCCTCGCAAACAATAGATTTGAAATACTGCCAGTTTAGAGTCCTTGTTGCTATCAGTACCAACCCATGCAAGAGATATAGTAATGGTGTTCGTGGGATGAGACATAAACCTGAAATTCTGCTGGTTTAGAGTACTTGTTGCTATCTGTATTAAGCCCATGCAAGAGAAATAGCAACGGTGTTCCCATCGCTTGGTACTGATTAGACAAAACTTCCTTAATCTCATCAATATAGAAGACCTGGGTAACCTTGTACTTTGCCTGAAAAAGACCAATGTAAGAGTAAATCAAATCCTTGCATTGCCTTCCACTTGATGAACAGGATCACCCACGAAATACAAGTTCGGAAAATGAATAGTTACCTGGAAGTGAGTAAGTGATTTTATTTCTCCCATCCAAACAGCATAGTCAGCCGGTAACCTAGGAGCAAAGAGCATAGATTTCCCACTTGCTATATCCTTCATCAAGAAAGCAATATTCAAGGATGCTTCAAATTTGTGAGCACTAGAAAATTTAGATAATAAGGTTCATCGGCCACTCTCTCCATTAAATTTCCTTACATTAAAACATTAACTCACTTAAGAAAGGAAAAATAATGCATACTCCCTTGAAGTTTCGACTTATAACACATCTCTATTGTGGATTCAAATATTACGTGAAGCTCCTTTTACTCATGATTTGTGTAACAAAACTATATCCTATTACATGGAAAAGTTTTGACCCCGTATGTTCTGAGATTTTAACTTTCTTCCTTCTATTTGTGTAAGAAAATTAACTTATAATATTTGAACCTTTTGTTAAAAATTAATGGATGAATCACATTCCACATGTTTAAATTATATCCTTATTAAAAGACTGAAAAACTACATAAATAAAAATTTCTACTCACTTTTAAGCTCGTCTTTTTTAATTTGTTCATTCTTCTTTAGATTTATAAGCATTTTTACTTTTTTATCTGCTTTTACTTCTCAAAAAAAAATATTATCTGCTTATGTGCGTGATAATAATTTGAACAGTTGATTGGAGGATAGTAAGATTAGATTCTTTTTTTCTTTTTTTTTAGTTGGCACTCAGAGACTGCTGATTAAAAAAATATGTACAAGTGCAAAAGTTTCCATGATAAGCTATATTGGGGATCTAAAAAGTCTTATCATCTTCTCTTTATTATTTACAAAGGCAAATTTACACCAAGTAGACGAGAAATAATAAATATAAACATTTTTCTTTAATATGTGAAATAGCAACTTTGCGCTATTCGAAGCATCTCATTTCCTTACTTCCATAGGACCCAAATGATGCATAAGGGGATTGAATTCCACAGCTTCATGCTACATCTCTGCACCTCAGTCTTCTCTAACTGCATAAAGCTTCTACATATTGCCAGGATAACTCATCTTATTTTGAAACGACTGGACAGTGAATAAGTGGCAGCCCCTTTCCTCTTCTTTTTCATGTAAATAGCATCTACTCTGCAGCACAGAACGCTTTAATAGCAAATTTGCTAGTGTTAAATAGGCAGTGTTAACAGCGATAAATCCAAAACACGCCTCTGTAGCAGATACTTAACTTTCTAAATCAGCTTCCAGGATGTTCTTCATTGTTTTTCGCAGATAAAGTTTTGTACTCTGGCCTTACAGAATTCTACCTCTTGCAGCCATTATAGAGAATCTTTTCCTCCAGACAGCCATTTCTTCTCTTTCAGTTTTTTAACATATTCAAAAAGGCTGTTTCTTTCCAAGTCTTGACATTTTTTTCTTGGGGTACTGTTCCATTGCTTCCCAATTTTGAAGGTAGGGGTAAGGTTTGCACATACACTACCCTCCCCATACCCCACTTGTGGGATTCAACTGGGTTGTTGTTGTTTGTTACATGATCCAAATCATGCTCACTAATTAGGTGAAATTTCTTCTGTTAACTATTTCCTGCCCATAATAAGTTTCTTTCAATCCATTAAGTTGCCTCTCCAACTTTCTCTGCAACGGAGATAAGGACACAATATAGGTGGGAAGATTGTACAAGGCACCTCCAAAAGACAAATATTGTTGTTTCCATGTGGAAAGTCTTTCTCAAGCTTCTCTACTATTCCCTACTATAGTGCTAATGATTTATGCTTGGAACCAAAAGGGAGACAAAAATATGTTGAAAGAAGCAACTTTGCAACCCAAAATGTTACACCAGTAGCAAGTTCTCAACCTTATTATCTCCATATGCAGCTTTTGCAAGCCTGAGACGGCATCAAAAGCTAATAAACCCCTTTAAGATGCATCAACTTACTTTCCTCCGCACCACAAAAAGCTACACATCATCAACATAGACAATATAATCTACTATAAAATATGTGACATATTAAAGTTGTTCTTACTTCCAAATCAGAACTCCTTGATCCAGCCACCTGCCAAGTTCCAGCATTCTACTGCATACCTTCATTACCAAAATGAATAGAAAGGTGAAAGGTATCACCTTGACAAAAACCCTCTTTGGGAGCTTAAGAAATCTGTTGGTTCACCATTTACTAGGGAAGAGTACTTCACTCACAACTATTTCTCTCCAAATTACATCTTCCTCAAACGGCAACTAGAAATGTCTAGTCTACATGGTCATACACCTTGTCCATGTCTAGCTTGTGGAGGAGCCTAATTTCTTTTGTTTTATTCTCATATCTAAGCACTCATTTGCCACTAAAGCAGCATATGTTATCTGTCTGCCAGTAACAAATCATCTGTGACTTAGAAATCAATTTAATGAACATTTTTAGCCTTTCTGCCAATGCTTTGGATATGATCGTAAAAATTCCTATCACCAATCTTATGGTCTATAATCAGTAAACATAAAATAGTTTTAATAAAAAATATGAGAAAGCATAACGGCAAATCTATCTGCATGTAGATTAAGTGTAGCTTTTGTTACACAAAATTAAAAGAAAGATATGTAATACATGATGAAACCTCAAAAAGAAAAGAAAGATTGCATAAAAAGGTTAATTGAGGATAACTAGAATTAAACAATAAGTAGAATGGGGTTATCTATGTGCCTTAAACCTCTTTGTAAAAGAAAATCTGATACTAGAGAAGCCCAGCTATTGAATCTTTAGGAAGTTCATCTCTCCCTTCTTCCCCCTTTTTTTGGGGATAAGTTAAAGTACTTTCCTAAAATAAAAAGTACCAAGGAGCTACCACAAAGTTGACAAATTTAAGAATATTTCTTATCTCCGCTCCTTCATTGACTTAAAGAGTCCAACAGAAAAAGTAATCACTTTCACCACAAAACAAAGAGGAAACTTCGCAATTGATCACTCTGGAAGGGGAGAATATGGGTCTCCCCATCACTTCAACCAAACATACAATTAAATTTAGGGAAAGCGCCAATCTGTCAAGAAAAGGTTGATAAGACATTTTCATAGCTCTGTGACATCAGTTACCACATCATAAGCTACTTCTCGACATGGAATTACTCATTTAAGCACCCAAGAATCTTAAGAAAGAAAGAAAAATTCAACATTTATTGATATCATATCTTACAATAGCTCCATAAAATCCAGGCTCTTGTACTCCAAACAAGTAAGCGAAATAGCTCTCCTGCCTATAAACAAGCCAGAAGTTAGTAACTAGTCCAATCATCATCCTCAATGAGCAGATAATTGCTATAATACAACACTTAGATAGATGGCTATTTATACCTGAACAATTCGAGGTGATCGGTGCAATGACGAGTTTGCTCCTCGCCACCCTAATTCAAATTTTAAAATCGAGATAAGTCAGAAGAGAGAGCTGAAGTGAGTGAAGGTAAAGGCAAAAGGCAAGTAATGAGAACCTGAAGGAGAACAAATCCTTGGAGAGGACGAGAGGAAGAAGATAGGTGTTCGCGTAGAGAGTTGAGGAGCTTCTCACGATTGAGTAAGTGGAGTTCCATGGGAATCATCGGAGGAGACAGAGATGATGAAGAAGAAGAAGAATCCATTAGAGCGATCAGGCCGCGGCCCTAATCGAGGAGTGGGGAAAACAGCAGATTACACTTCACGGCTGTTTATAAGATGGCCGTGACTTCACGCCTGTTCAAAACTGAAGGAAAGGTTTAATCCAACCGAACTTTTATTAACTTATTAGCTTATTGGTATCGGATAATCGAACTTATGGTTATTAACTTATTGGTATCGAATTATCGAGATAATAGATAGTGAACGAATTGAAATTTTATGATTAACGGCTTAACAGTTTGGGCGAATTACTCAATTTACTTATCGGGCAAATCGTTAACCCGTTAATAATTTTTATATTTATATTTTTACCTCTATGTATATAAAATATTATTGAAAGTACTTTGTTGAAATATCCGCTGGTTTTATCCTTAATAGCTAGATTGTCTATGTCCTTTTATGCATGCATCTACCAAATTAAATTTTTGGTTTTACAGTCTGGATTCTTGTGAAGAATTGTGTCTTACTAATTCGTTTTTCAGTGCATGACCTATTTACTAGCTATCGCTTTCGCTTTGCATCTTTCTTCTGGATTTCATGGTGTTCTTATTTTTTCTATGATTGTTGTGGTGATACTAATATTGTCTTCTTTTGTCCTTTTATCTTTTTGTTTTCTCGAGCCGAACGTCTTTCGGAAACGGCTTCTCTACTCCTTTGGGGTAGGGGTAAGGTCTGCGTACACACTACCCTCCCCATAGCCCATTAATGAAATTTTACTGGATTGTTGTTGTTGTATTCTTGTGAAGAACGAATGTTACTAAAGTTTGATTGATTCATACGTGTATGAGTAGTCTTGAATATGAACTAGATTGGAACTTGGAAGAAGACTCTTCAATTCAAAAAAAAATGTTAGATCTTAGATGGTATTAAAATTTTGGTATTGATTTGAAACCATTTGGTATTGATTGAATGATTATTCAAAACAATTCTATTTGGTTTAGCCGATAAATTGCTCGATAACCGTCTGATAATCGTTAATCTGATACCAATCAACATATTAGATAGCTAGCAGATTACTATATTTATAATCCGATAACCGATAAGACGAACCACTAAGAGTAATTATCTGCCTGATCGGCCCGATAAGCACCCCTAGCCGTGAGCCTCGAAGTTTTTCCCAACCCGAGAATACTTACAACAAGTGTTTTACACAAAATAATCAACAAGTTTACTTATTACAGGAAAAATCGCTTTTGTGATACTATACACTACCTAAATCAAAATTTAATTTAACAGCTACTATAAATTGAAATTACATGCTTCACCAGTTAATCTTAATGAAGTGATAAATGGGTCATTAAAAATTAATTATCTTATATATATAGTTTAGTGTAAACATGGGAATAAACTTTCTCTAATTTTTACTCCTAATACAGATAATGATTCGATCGGAACATGATGCATACTCCGAATTAAATTAAAATAAATTAACTTCCAATAAATTTTGGTATCTCAAAACTAACTGAAAAATTTACAAGTTGCAATCTTTCTCGTGTTAAAATGACTAAAATGATACGTTTTAGAAGAGTCTTACAAATTCGATTAGTTGGAATCTTCTTCATATTATTATCAATACATTACACTTCACTATGAAACTTATCTAGTTTTTCTTTATCGGTACTCAACAAACAAACAACAACAATCCAGTGAAATTTCACTAATAAGTCTGAGGAGGGTAGTGTGTAGAGAGGTAGAGAGGTTGTTTCCGAAAGACCCTCGACTCAAGAGGACAAAAAGACAAAAGGAGACAATATCAGTATCACCGCAGAAATCATAGGAAAAATATGAACAACATGAAATCCAGAAGAAAGATGCAAAACAAAAACGATAGCTAGTAAATAGGTCCGACACTAAAATGCAAAATAGTAAGACACGACATTGCCACTAGCTAGCTTAGACAAAAACCCTACCAGACTAGTCTCACAACGGTACGAAGTAAGGCAAGACTCAACTACCTCCTAACCTAAAACCCTAATACTCGACCTCCACATCTTCCTGTTAAATGCCATATCCTCGAAAATCTGAAGTCTTGCCATGTCCTGCCTCATCACCTCTCCCCAATACTTCTTTGGCCGTCCACTACCTCTTCTCGTGCCCTCCACAACTAGCCGCTCACACCTCCTTACCGGGACATTTGGGCTCCTCCTCTATACATGCCCGAACCATCTGAGCCTCGTTTCCCGCATCTTGTCATCAATGGGAGCCACACGCACCTTCTCCCGAATATCACCATTCCTAATCTTATCCATCCTAGTATGCCCGCACATCCACCTCAACATCCTCATTTCTGCTACTTTCATCTTCTGGATATGTGAGTTCTTAACAACCCAACACTCATCCCCGTACATCATGGCCCCGTACTCAGCCCCGTCAATTATGATATTTTCTGGGATAAGTTCCACATAACGTAAGAATTTTTCCTCAATTAGTAGGTCGAATCTTACATGAATACGGCCTAATTTTGCAAAGATTTCTCGCGTCACATAATAGTTTCCCCCAAAAATGCTTATAGATGTATTTGTGAGGGCAGACCTAACTTTGATGTCATTTTGTACCTTTTTAGATATACTAAGATGACTTTAAACATCAAATGGACTAATTTGAGAGATCCATTGAATTAAATTGCTTCCGATTTAGATCATAATCTGATGGTCAAATTTCATTATTTGATCTGTGAAAGCTAAACACAACAACCTATTTGGAAGAGAGAGTAAATTTCTTGACTCATGAAGATTATTCAAACGGTTCATAACCGCTCCAAAGTGTACTTGCAGGACAACAGATCCTATTAACTGTCGTATTGACACAATTACTGAGCTAACTATAAAACAAAAATCCAACATCAAGATATGCACAACCAAAATATCCGAGAGTATTTTGAAAAAGCATGGTAACACTTGCTAACTCCATGTCTATTCTATTAGAATAGTTGGCATCCAATATAATCAGTCACATTAAATCTTCACAGAAAATTTATATTCAGAATTGTTAGGATCGGTAAACTAGGTAGTGCGGAATTTAGCCAAACAATGTTATAATGAAAATAACAAAGACAATGCAAGTTGATAATAACGGCAATTAAAGAAGATAAAGAAGACACAAATTAACGTGGTTCGGTCAATATGACCTACGTCCACAAGCGGAGAGGATCAATTTCACTATACCAACAAGAGTACAAAAGAGAGTACAAAATGAGAGTAAATACTCTAATTAGTCCCAAATACCCCAAGAGAATAAACTCACAAGATCACTCCAAAGAAAGGGTTCACACAAGTGTTTCTCAACACTCACTCTCTTACAAAATACTCTATAATGAAATAAAGGAGGAGAAAGAAAGACAAGAGTGAAAAGCTCTCGAATTGATGTGTTTACAAATGAG